TGTCATGATGGGTTCACTGATGAGACCCAGTTATGCAGAACACCACGGAGACGGAAACAATGGTAAAAGTTAAACAAGGTTTATTGTTCACAAGCACATGGAATAATGACAGGAACTGGTTCAGGCCCGGGGACTGGTTCACTGGAGTCTGTGTAGATAACAGAGCAGTTAGCTTTGAGAGCTATGGGGTTTGTTTCTGTGAAGTTCAGATCTATACCTTGAGGGTTCCGGTTTGGACTCAGACAGAGGAGTTGTTGGGTCCAGAGAAGGTTTGTTTCAGCAGAGTCCAGAAACTGCTTCAGCGTCTTGCTTCTGATGAGGGTGCAGACCTTGGCTTTTGGTTTCCAGCTCTTAATCCTGAGCTGCATGGGAATCCAGAGAAGAGTCTTCGGGTTTGGCTCAGAGGGCAGGCTCGGCAGTCTATGCTCCTCCAGAGCTCCTGGAAACAGACAAAGGATTAGAATCCAAGCAGGACTCAAAGAGCAATAAGATTTCTCAGAGGGTTCCTTGGCTCAGGTGCTAACCAACGAGATTCAACACTGCGGCGTCGAGGCAAGGTCTGAAGACAGCTTATGTAGTGTGGATCCTCTGATGATGGAACGAGCCACAGGTGCGTCGCAGGCTCAGCTCAGGAGGATCCACGGCGGACTCTGCTGGAGAAAGGTGGTACTTCTCCAGCTCCCAACACTCCCTGATTTTCGTCAATTTCCGACAATTTGCAACCAGCGCTTGTCCGCGTTTGTCGTGCCACAAATTGTCGGAAACGGACTCTGACGTATGTGGAGAGCGATCAGCTGTACTAATGGCCCTAATTAGCATATGAATGCAGCAAACCCGCGCGGCTGGCCAGGTCTGGCTTGAATAACCTACTCAGTATTGGCTGAAACCACTATTCTCAAACAAGTAAAAGCGCTCGTGATTGGCAGCAAAACCACACGTGGCCACGCCAGGCTTTAATTTTCTTACTGAGTATTGGACGGAACCACTTATTTTTAAACAAGTAAAGTCGCTCGTGATTGGTTGGCATATATATATATATATTTACATATAAATTTACATATACATATATATTTATGAATATATATTTATTCATTCATATATTTATTCATTCATATGCTGTGTATTTATGTTATCCTACACTACTACACAATTATTAGGCTACCATCAAGGACATGAATGAATTTATACAGGAAATGAACATTTGCCAGGAAGCTGTTTATGCAAAGAAAGAGCTTTATTATAACACACACAACTATACACAACGCGTATCCAAACACATGCGTATCTAAAAATTACAAGTCCGTGAATGGTCCGTTTGCTTCCTCGGGGTTGGAGGTAACTGGCAGCATTCCCTCCGAGGCAGGTCCGATGTGCAGACGCCTACTGTGCGTGGCCCTGTACTTCGGCATCGCTTCTAACCGGGACTGCAGCTTAACATAGAGTTCAGTGAGATCCGGCCTACGAAATGGCGGCGACCGTACAATCCATCCAGAGACACCGCCAACGACGCCATCTTCTTCGTCGGACATGAGGCCGATGGTGGCGGACTTCCAGAGTTCCACTTCCTCATCTGCTAGCACACTCTGCCTCGCTTTCAGCAGCTGAAAAAAAAAACTATGAATCAGCGCACTGCGTATGGACACAACACATCTATCAATGCACCTGAAAAATAGTCACCAAATAAAGTCTTACCCTCTTTCTTCTAACTCGACTCCGAGCAGATTGCTTGGCAGCCTCCGCACGCAACGTGTTGGCTGGCTGCGTATAGCTCCTGCGTACCGTCTCAAAATACGTCTTACAGGCAGCTGGGAAACAATTAAATGAGAGTGGTATGAATAAAAAATCAAACGCAAGTCACAGTAACAAGGAAGGAGAAAACATTAAAACAAGTCACTTACACACAATGTCGTCTTTATCAACATCGTGCAAATCTGGACTTGCTGATATGGCTCCGAGCAAATAGGAGGTCTGTGAAAACAAAATGTAAAGCTATGATCGGTTTCCATCCGTATCTATTTCCTTTTACCGCAGAATGAAAGCATATTCTTTAAATCTTACCCTTGCTCCGGTTCATAGCGCCTGCAATTAGTCTCCGAGTTGTGAAGACGGCGTACTGCTTCCTGTGAATCACAAAAAATACACTTTAATAAAGCTTGTTCTTGCAAGGCTACTATTAGCCGTAGCTTTAGGCTAGGCTGTTATTAGCCGTGGCTTTAGGCTAGGCTGCTATTAGCCGTAGCTTTAGGCTAGGCTGCTATTAGCCGTAGCTTAGGCTAGGGTGCTTTTAGCTTAGCAGGCAGTAATCGAACATATATTTACTGCTAGCTTCTCTTCTTTGAGTTCGTCTTGTTCGATGCAGAGTCGCCATCGCGTCCAAGAGGAGTTTTACCCCGAAATCCCACATACTCCGCTCCAGACCGCCTGCACAAAGCAAAGCATACATCCTCCACTGTGGCTGCAGACCGCTCCCCTCTGAGTTTCTTGGAGATCGTAGAGAGCATGCGCGAGATGAACCAGGGTTTCCGCGGATCAATAAAAATAATTAATAATTAATTCATTTTTTTTTAAATCAAGGCCTTAATTGGCACTAAAATTATTTAAATATGTTTATCGAAGTATTTATAATTCTTTAATAAAAAATGCTTATAAAAACAATTTCGTCAGATATATTATATCGCTCCAGGCGGAGAAAAAGCTAGAGGATATATATATATATATACGTATATATGTGTGTGTGTGTGTTTACATACATACAGGAGTCATGGAACTGTGCTTACAGCTCCTTCATATTTCATGTACAGTACACTAATAACCTTTGTACATGGTTCTTGTTGATGGCATTAAAACAATTTCTAATAGCATTAAAATAGCATTAAATTAGAGTCACTCATTCCTGTATGAACCCTGTGAGCGCTTAATTTAATATGACATATTAAAAAAATCCCACCATCATCCAGCATATGTTCAGTTTCTGCCCAAATATATATATATATATATTTGTAGATTTTTGTAACGGGGATAAGGATAATTCAAAATTGCTTTTTTTGAATGAACTTGTTCTCTACTCCCAAACTCAGCATCTCTTTTCATTCCTGTAATAAGAAGTTTCTTTTGAATGGATTTGATTAAAGTTTAAGTCCCTCGGTATAAAATAAATATTTTGATGGAGATGAGAAATCTGCTTCCTCGTTGGTGAATAACCAATAGTTTGGATCCAATCATTTAAATAAACGGTCTTAGTTTTTTTTTTTTATATATATAAGAATTGTGCTATAATTTCTAGTCACCGATCTGTTGCTGCTATATTTTAATTTGACGAACCGGAATTTGTCGATGTTCTTTTTCCTGTTTGGTGCGATTGCAATTGCGGATCTTGACCTGGCCGGACCTTATGACCACAGTGTACCAATCTTCTGATGGCTACTTCCAACAGGATAATGCGCCATGTTATAAAGTGAATCATCTCAGACTCATTTCTTGAAACTTTTCCACTTAAGTAATTGTGAATTGAGCATATTGACAGACAACATTTTATTTTTTATCTTAAATGCAATTTTTTTTTTAAATAATTACTGCTCTAAATGTATTGCTCTGTCAGCTAAAGATCTGTATTGGTCTCTATACTTTAATGAAATAAATCAATTCAAGCTAAAATGTAAGAGGCAATACTGAGTCTGATCTCATTTACCCCGTTTACACTACCCTTAAAAAACTGAGCCGAGACCGGTCCGAGCTCAGTAACTGAGATAACTTGTGGTGTGTGAACGGAAACAACCTGAACTGAACCGAGATAGACATAACCGGACCGCGCTAACTGCAGACCAGTTCCCGAGGTGGGTTCGGCTCGGTTTTTTCCTGGCTCGGTTCTCTGATAACAAGAGCGCATGAGCAGAACGCGTCATCGCCGACTGGCTGAACATGCCGATTCACACTCCATTCCAGAAAGTCGGCTTCCCAAAAGCCGACTTTCTCAAGTACATCCGCGCAAGGTTGCCGTCTTCGCCTGACCCACCGCAAACACGGAAGTACAGCAATAATAATCAAGCATAACTTTCTGAATGTGACGGGCGCCGCCATTTTGATTTGCTTGATTCCCTCCTCCTTCGTCTTCTTCTTCTTGGGTTTTACGGCGGTTGACAAACAGCGTTTGGTGCATTACCGCCACCACTGCTTGAGTCCCTCCTTCAATCCTAGCAGTAATACCGCACATCGTCACTAGGAGGCGAGGAGTCAAGGAGTCGAGATAACCGAGATAAGTGTGACGTGTAAACGGTCGTCAAAACTGAGCTTGGCCTGGTTACCGATCCAAGCTCGGACCGGTCTCGGCCTGGATCGGTTTTTCAAGGGTAGTGTAAATGGGGCTTTTGTATCAGAGATTTTCTTACCTTTTAGAAAAATGTCACTTGGAGTAAAACCCCCTGCAACCCTGATTTGCATTTGTATAGCTCACAGCATTTTCATTTACATGTTAAAGCCTCCCCTAGAATTCCATGGGGGGGAGGCATGGGGGGAACACTGCCTAAGAAAGTCCACGTCAATTTCTGACAATTTACGGGAGTTTTCGGCGAAGCCTGCAAATTGCCGTAAACTGCCGCTAACCTGAATTTCCACGACAATCTACAATGCCGCATATTGACGAAAATCCCACTTTTCATGCAGTGAGCAACAGAAAAAGAACTTTTAACTTTCAATGGAGCACCCTATTGCAAGCTACTGCTGCCGCAGTGCATGCTACTGTTGTGCTTTCTCCAGCATCGTGCAGCTTTGTCAACACGCCCTCAAGACCCCGCCCACTTTGATCCAGAAATTCAAAACACATCTCTGCGTTGTGATTGGCCCGCCAGTTCTCACAGGCAAAAATGATTTTGGTCACTGGCAGGTGGGGCTAGTTTACTAGGCTAACTTTTTTTTATTTTTACCAAATTGTGTGATTGTCCTTCAAAGAAGATATTTATAATTCAACATTTTTTAATTACTTGTTTTTTTTGGGTTTGATGCAGGTCAGCTGGAACAGCCATGTCTTTCCAGAGACATCATGAAGAAAGAAGCTAACCAAGGTGATAAACTAAAGAACCTATTGACATGTGGTGGGGACTCTTTGGAGAGTTATAACAGTTTTGTTATAGTTGTTAACAAAAGCAATCCACAACAAGTTCAATACCTCAGTTTTCTAAGTAAGTTAAAACTGTTCTGTGTGTTGGACTTTGACCCAAACTCTGTAGCTGAAGGTGGACTGTGTCATTCATACAGAGAGTTGAGGGTGGCTAATCTGCATTTGCCAACACAATTTCAGGGACATACTGAAGCTGTTATAAAGGAGCTCAACCTTTACCTCCAGACCAGCTGGGTCTTCTGTAATGGGAGAAATGACCTTGATGATTGCAGAGAGTTAGACTATCGAACCTGGCTGAGGAGGTCTTGCAAAGATTTGGAACAGTTGGTTTCTTTAATCTGCAACCCTGATGTTTTGCTCCATGGAAGATACCTTGTTATCTTCCTTCTCCTTTCCCCCGTGCACTCAGAGAAAGACCCGGTCCTTGACACTTACATGTCTTTTATTAAACACATAGATGAGAGTAACATCATAAGCATTTGTGAATCTCAGAAAACATATTTAGAATGGAGGGAACTTATAAAAAGAAAGTGTGACTTTGACATTGAACATTTCTCCATAAATGAGCTAAGTCTAAGTGAGATCAATGGAACCATAATGGGGCTTGGTCCTGTCACTCAGTCATCTACAAGGCTGCTTCCTTCTTCTGGTTCCAGTGCTGTTGTCCTGAAACAAAAGGATGAAGATCTATTGACAGCTCTGGATGTTTTATGCCTGAATCAGTGTGAAAAAATATATGAAGAGAGAAGTTCAGAGTTTCATGACTTCAGAAAAACAGTCGAGGAGGAGTTCTACAGAGGAGCCAAAGTGAGATGGTGGAACTTTTATTTCTGTGACAAAAACACAGAGAAGCCATTTATCAAGAGAGAAAAGTATGAACATGTGAAGAAAATGATCAGATCACAGAGGACATATTCAAGCAACACCTGTGTGCTTTTAACATTGTTTCATGACCCAGGATGTGGTGGTACCACCCTAGCAATGCATGTGATGTGGGACCTCCGTAAGGAGTTCAGGTGTGCTGTTTTGAAAGACAACACGGTACCAAAAACAGAGGTGGCCAACCAGGTCCGACATCTGATGAAGCTGGAAAGTGAGAAACCATCCCCGGTTCTGCTTTTGGTTGATGACTCAAAGGAGACGGACAATCCTTTTGACCTGCTGATCTGCATCCGCCAAGCTGTAGAGGATCTTTCAGACATTCATTTGGATGATGCTCCTAACTGTAAAGTTATCATCTTAAACTGTGTACGTTCCCACGACCCCAAAGAGCAATACAGAAAAAACAATCAAACCCAAAACCAGTACCTAACTGCCAAACTGACACCACAAGAGCAGAAAGAGTTTGAAAAGAAGCTTAAAGAGCTAAAGGAAACCCATGACAAACCTGAAAACTTCTACAGCTTCATGTTCATGAAAAACAATTTTGACAGGAAATACACAGAAAACCTTGCTCATAACACGCTGGAGAACTTTGACTTCAGCACCAAGGAGGGTAAACTCCTCTCCTTTCTGGCCCTACTCAACACGTATGTCACAAAGTCAGAGATGGCACTTTCTCTCTGTGAGGACTTTTTTCAGATGAAGATGGTCCGCTGGAAAGACGACTCTGTTTTGGATCGAATGAAGCCCTATTCCAACTTTCTTATCATAGAATCAGTTGATGAATGGGGCGGATACAAAGGAATACGGATCCTTCATCATGCAATAGCATCTGCCTGTCTGGAAGAGCTGGAGAGAAGTCATGATCTAAAGGCTAGTGACATTGTCATGGAAATCCTCCATTATGATCTGTTCTTCAGTGATGGAGTTGTTAAACATAGACTGATGCGTTCAGTTATACGAATGTTAGTAGAAAGGCAACTGAAGAAAAATGGAGAAGAGAGGGAACTTTTTTCTCCTCTCATTGACAAAATCCACAGCCAGCAAGGGAGACAAAAAGTCCAAGAAATCTTTGTTAAAGCCTCGTCCAGGTTTGAGAAAAAATTATCCATCCCTCAGGCACTGGCAAGATATTTGTACATCAATGTGAAGGACTTCCCAGAGGCCATAAAATGGGCAGAGAAAGCTAAGAACATTAAAGAAAACCCCTATACCTTCGACACAATTGGGGAAATCCACAAGAGCAATCTGAGGTTCAACATTAACAAAGAAAAACAGGTAGGGTCGCACAACCCAGACAATCTGCTCACAAACATTGAAATAGCCAAGAATGGCTGGAAAGCTTTCCAAAGGGCTCAGGAACTGGCAGACATGGAAAATGAAATAGAAGAAGAAGCTCCTGACGATGAGTCAGAGGATTATCCCAGGAATTCCTACAATATTAAAGGCTATGTGAAAATGCTGGAGATCTACTTCCTGGTCTTTGAGATTCTGAGCAGGTTACCATTCTTCGAAGAACATGATCCAATGAAAAAACACTACTTAAGAAGTTTTCTTAACGGACAGTTCCCAATCAGCAACGTTCACAAAGAGAACAGCGACTGCAACAACAGATGTGTTGAGATCATTAAAGAACATGAACTGTTCCTGGTCAAAAGGAAAGAGATCAAAGAAATCTTTGATCTCTTGAACAACAACTTTACCTACATAAAGCAGAACTCAGAACTGGATGCAATAAACCTAAGGATAGTGAGTAATCATTTTAAGAAATATGTGGATCTGTTTTGTTCCACACAAGAAGAAATGAAAAAGGAAAAGGAAAACAAAACAACTCTCAGTCGAAAATTGGAGGTTGAAGATCGTAAACGATTCCTGGAGAAGAACCAAGCAGATACTTTCTCAGGAATCCTTCAGTACTTGGACAAACCTGCTGAGGAGATGGAGCAAATAACAGATTGCTATGCATTTATACTGCAAAATGATACCAATGAACGAAATGTTAAAACAAAAATCAATTACATCATGGCCAACATAGTCCTTCACCACCTAAAACCTAAATCCAAACATGTAAAGAAATACAAAGAACTCTGCACTCTGCTTCAAGAGGTTCTCCAAGATGTGGGACTTCGATATCCTTTCCCAGATCCATACTTTCTTGCTCAGTTGCTATTCTGGCCAAGCCCTACAGAAGAAAACATTGATGACATAACTAAATATGTTAAAGCAATTCGAAAGTCTTCTCACAAGCACCTGTCTAAGTTGCTTCACAAAAGGAGCACTGTCGCCTACTTCTACTTAGGTCAAGAAGACGGTCTGAGGGGGCTGGTTTCAAAGCCATCACTGGATAAGAGTTTTCTTCCAAAGATGAATAGAGATGTTTTAGCACAACTTTGGAGAGATGGAGACATATTTAAGGAAGAGGCCATCAAAAGCCGCCTATACAGGGTGAAGGGAACCATTGAACAGGGGGAGGTTTACGCCAACTATCGCAAACAGAGGATCCCAGTGCGCACAGCTCGTACCAGTGCAATTAGAAGTGGCTTCAGCACTGAGAAGGTCTCCTTCTACATTGGATTTGCCATTAATGGACCCTTGGCATATAACATTAAATATGAAAACTAGAAATGAGCGCATTATGATCTGAAAATATATAAACTGAACATGTATAATGAGCAAAAAGAATTAAGTCTTAATCAACAATCTTTGGTAAGTTTTGAATGGGTTCACAGAGGACCACTTACAATGGAACTACAGGTTTCTCTTCTGTCTACTTTCAATTGTCTGGGTGCTTTTAACAGAGAATTAATAACAGAGTTAGGAAGCAGCTCCAACCTCTATGCTATTCATTTGAGCATTTTAGACCAAACTACGAAATGTGGGCAGTGTACAGTAATGTTCAGATCATTGTTGTGTAATGTTGTCTTGGTCATGTTTTTCAATTTCAGAAACAGGTTTTAAATAAAAGCAAAGAGCCTTTTCACCCTATTATTTTTTTAAAGAACCTGACCTCTCAGTTTATTACTCTTACATGAAGCTTTTTTTTTAAGTTTTTTTTTACAGCACTAGTGGCTGTTTTTTTTTTTTGGACGGTAGGCTAACAGGAAAGGGGGTATGAGAGAAGGGGAGAGACATGCGGCAAAGGACCACAGGTCAGATTCGAACCCTGGTCCCCGCGTCAAAATCTAAGGCCTCCAAACACGGGTCGTGTGTGCTAACCACTGTGCCACCAAAGCACGGCCATTACAATAAGCTTTGCATGATTGTACACATATTGGACAACATCTCACCTGGCTAAATAACCATATATCTGTTTCAGAATTAAGGTAAAAAAAATTGTGAATTTATTAATTGTATTCATTTTTTCTGTATTTTTAAGTGCAAAATCAGTGTAAAATCATGTCATTGTGTAATAAAGTCACTTTAAATCATTCTTCATTAGCACACTTGATGCCTTAACAGTAGGGCTTCTTTTTGTTTTCAGATTTAAGCTCTGATTGAAAGTTTATTCTTGATTCTTATTATTGCTGTTTTAGTTATCACTTAAAGATCTCCAGCTCATCTAAGCTAACCTTTTTTGGTTGTCAAAACAAGGGAGAACCTTACTATTGACTAGGGGTGTAAATAATATCGTTTTGTATCTATGCATCGATCCAACAGCCGACGATTCGATGCATCGTCCACAAGAGTATCGATTCATGTTTTTTTTTTTCCTCCGTTCTATTTTTATCCATTTGGTCCTGGACGTAATTCTCCCTCCCGTACTGCGGTGGCGCTAAACCTATTTTGCCCTCCTACCTCGCTTCCTGGTTATAATCTTACAGCAGTTTGTTGCAGTAAGCTTGACACAGACATTTTAAAATTATGCTCAATATTGAAGCGTGGTCTGTGCTACACACTGTGGGTCCTAGATGCGGCCGAGAGGAAGTGGGGACGAGTTTAGACCGACGACGGAGGGACATGAGGGCCAAAAAGAGCGGAGATCCAGGTGGTAAAAGAGTCCCAGTGTTCTCGCGCACTTTGCTCTTCTAGCAGGTCACACTTCATGAGTTGTTTTCCGCAATTTCGGTCATAAAAACAAAACAAGTCGGCCTCCTGTCTGCGGCACTGTTTGCGGTCAGCTACAATTTGGGAGAGGTGCGTCTGGAGCCGAGGTATTGAATTGCACTCATTGCACTGATTTTGTGCAGTATTTTTCTGATGCAAGGCCTTTCAGAATCTATAATTCAGGGGTATTATTATTTTTCCGTGAATAAGGTTTTAATAGGAATAGGTGGAGTGCAACTTTTCTACTTCTGTTATTTGCTGTTGTTTCTCAAAAAAATGCATAACGATATTACAGCTTTCATTGATTTATTTCAACTTTGAAACATTTTCTAGCCTGTAAGGTGTAAAAAAAAAAATAGTAAAAAGTAAAAAAAAAAAAAAACAATTAATCAAATCGTATCGTGGTGTATTATTGAGTATCGAAAATAATCGAATCGTTGGGTCAGAAAATCGATACTGAATCGAATCGCCATGATGGATGTGATTTACACCCCTACTATTGACATCCTAAAATTTTAAATAATTCTTTTAATAATACATCTCTCTAGTTATTCAGTGAAATATGTGATATACTTTGGTCAAATAGCCAATTTCTCTCTAAGAACTTTTTTCAAGGAACCCTGGGTATGCAAATGCAACACAAAGTCACACTTCTCTATCCTTAGTGGGACTTTCTATTGACTTTAATTCATTTCTAACCCATTTCTACAGCTTGACCGTGACCCTTACCCTAAACCTAACCCTAACCTCAACCTAAACCCAATTCACAACTTTGTCGTAAACATGATCCTGACCCTAAAACAGCAATTCCCTGCATACTGTAGGCTTCAGGCACCGGGCCCCACAAGGAGTAGCCACTCCTCACAACATGTTTTTTCCCCATGCAATGGGACTCACAATGTATGAAATACAAGAAAACATATGTACACACACATTCAAATATTAATAGCCAATTAATAAATTGAAAATATTATATATTAATTGCATTAAATAATTCCGAAAAAATGGTTTGAGTCAAGTAAAAACCTTCTTGTTCATATTAGATGATTGAACACAAATAACTCACTCATTGAAACCAATTGCCAGTATGATGCATGGCTTTTCTGCATGTCTGCACAAAGTCATTTATTCTCTCAATCTAAAACTCATCACCAAAATGTTTGTTAAAAAAACATTTAGAATCAAGATGGCTGCCTTCTGTGGCAGAGCATTAACTCCCCTAAGCCAAATCCTTCTAGATCCAAACATGTAGGCCTTCTGTCTAACCACTTAAACCTTGTTCAAACAAAGTCATCAGTAGAACCATGAACCCAACCATTGCATCATATCTACAACAGAAGAAAAGAGAGAATTGGCAGCAATGGTCTAGTTAAGGTCTAGATCTCAGCCTGACTGACCTTCTTCTGCTGATGAGGAGCTTCTACAGGGTGATGCGTCAGGGACACTGGTTCAGTCTCTAAAGTTTAGAAAGAATCAGAAGCATGTGACACATGATAGCAGGTGACATTTGATAGCATGTGACATTTGATAGCATGTGACACTTGATAAAAGTGTATGGAAGGTTTCATGGTGATAAATGAAATATATGCACAGCTCTGGAGCACTATTGGCACAGTATGGCTGTTAGTCACAGCTAGGTACAGGAAGCATGGGCTGGGGTTCTTCTTTCATCTTTTCTTACTCAATGCACTTTCTCAATTCTCTGTCTTTCTTTTTCATATTCGTCTACTTCTTCCCTGTGGTCCACAGAATCACAAGCACACGGTTTGATGCTACCTGGTTCTAGGTATAACTATTTATTCAGAGGCATGTACTTTTCATCTTCCCACTCACACCTAAAGTGAATGTAAGGTTTGTGACATGTAATGTGCATGGAGCTGGCACCAGAGAGAGACAGTTTAAGATTTTTAACCAGCTTAAAAGATTAAACGCAGATGTTGTCTTATTACAAGAAACCCATAAATCAGCGACAACTGTAAGTGATCTTAACTGCCCTAAGTTCCCTGATGTGTTTGCAGCCTGCTATAACTCTAGACAGAGAGGAGTAGCAATTTTAATCCACAAAAACCTCAGTTTTAATTTATTAGACAAAATTATCGATCCTGAAGGCAGATTCATCATAATTAAAATATCTATTTATAACCAAAAGTTGTGTATTGTCAGCATATATGGTCCAAATGTTGACGACCCCTCATTCTTCCACAAAGTTTTTCATGCACTTTCAAAGCACGGGGATTGTTCTCTAATTATTGGGGGTGACCTCAACTTTGGTCTAAATGGAGAAATGGACAGGTTGAGTACAACAAGGACTCAACGCAGTTGGCAATCATTAAATGTAGTCAAACAATGCATGAGTGATTTTGGTCTTTGCGATGCATGGCGATCTCTTCATCCTAACAGTAAGGAATACACTTTCTTTTCTAATGTCCATCATTCCTACTGTCGTTTGGACTATTTCCTAATCAGCAGCTCGCTGCTGTCTGATGTATCAGATGCTCTAATCCATCCTATTGCTTTCAGTGATCATGCTCCTGTTACTGTAACCCTAATAAATAAAAAAAATAGCCCCACAAAACAAGAGCTGGAGATTAAATACATCACTGCTTAAAGATGAAGAGTTTCTCAAATTTTTCAAGGAAGAGTGGGCATCATACTTGGTGTGCAATGGTTCAGAGGTTCTGGGTACAGGTATGTAAGGACCTATCACTGTGTCTGGGATGTAAAATCTCGCTTTCCCCTTCAGTTTGCTTGCTGGGTGACTTTGAGGGAAGCTCTATGGAAAAAAAATCAGTTTGCATGGCCTTCACTGCATCATGTATCGCAAAGAAAACTATCCTCATGAATTGGAAAAGTAAGGATAAACTCAGCATCAATCAGTACAGAGATCTGTTGTTGGATCATATTAATCTTGAGACAGCATCTGCATCCCCATCAAACCGATCTCTCTGGGCTCCCCTGATCGGCTTCATCACTTAGTGTAGTGGGGGACTGTGGGGTGCGTCCTGCGTGGCGCGGGGGCTGGTTCTGGGGTCCTTGGGTCCTGGAGGGCTCGGGGGGGTGCTCAGAGTGGGGTGCCTGGCAGGTCTGGCACCGGGGTCTGTTATCCCCACTGGGGCAGGGCTTGGGACGCCTCGGGGCATCCTACGGCGGCCGCATGCGGTACTCTCGGGGGGTTCCGTGGTGGTGGACGTAGGCTACTGGCCTGGTAGTTGTGCTGGTGCTGGGTGGGTCCGGGGGAGGGGGTGGGGAGTGGTGGTGAAGGGAAGAGGATTTTAGAAGGGCTTCGGGTCTGGCTCCCTGTCTCGGCCCTGGTCCGTGCCGTCACCTCGTGGGGGCTTCGTCTGGGGTTGGGGCTCTGCATGGTGCGTGTGGGCTGGCCGACCGGACTTGTCTCCCCCCCTTTTTTTTTTTTTTGGATGGACAGGATGGGGGGGTGTTGGCCCTGTGGCCGTCTGGCTTGTGGGTCCTGCCTCCAGTCCCTGGCCCCCAGGCTATGGTGGTGCGACTGGACTGGTGGGGCCCCCCTCTCCGGTGGGGCTCTCGGCCTATTGGAGTCAGCAGGGGAGCTGGCTCCCTGGGAGTGCAGTAAGCACCCCGGTCCTTTGCTCCCCACCCACGGAATCCTCCCTCTGCCTGCTCCATCACACTGCTACACATGTAGGTTTTTGGGGAGGGGGTCATTACTGGAGGGCTGCACCTTCTGATGACGTCCCCCACCCCAATTTTATTTTGCATTTAGACACTTCCATTTACAAAATTTTCACAACACACATCTGGGGGGTGGGGGTCAAGGGCACCTGGGGGGGGCTTATTTTATGGGCCTCACCACGGTCCACTCCCCCCATCCCCTCTGGCATTTAGACATTGAGAGTTCTCTTTTCGATTGGGAGGGGGGGGGGGTGCGCTGGCACCGCCTGTCAACACCACATTCGAGCAGGCGCAGGGAGGATCCGGCTCTTCTCACACCCCTGTTCTCCGGCTGCCACCTGGAGTCTGGGGCCTGGAGGAAGAGGGAGCCGCCTGGTCCATGGTCATCCGATAATCCCGGAGACCAACCACAGGTGCCGCCGGGTCCTCGGTCCTGGTATCATTTGATGTGAGTGTTATGTGTGTGTCCGCGTTTTCTTTTTTTTTTCTTCTGTGGTGCGAGTGGGGGCACTAGGGTGGGAAGGTGAATGCTTTTTTTTCTCTCTCTCCCAGGTTGGGGTCTGAACTGCTCCCTCTCCCAAGAACATCTCAAGTCTCCGCTAAGTGCAGAGCCCATTCCCCCGTCCTGCTCTCCCTGGAGCCGGTGCACTGGTGGAGGTGGATGCCCAGGTGGATGCTGGCTATTTCCTGGCGGCCTCTCCGTGGGGCCCGACCGGCCAGGGCCTGGCTGGAGCTCCTA